TTTGACCTTTTCTGCTTCCACACCTCGCATCCATTAGCATCCTTGCTGCTGCAAAGGCCTAGTTCCGGCACCTTGCGGTAAACGCAGCTCGGGTGGACGAATCGACTTGTGTTCTCATGATACAGGTGCAGCAAGCTGGTACTCCTGACGGGCTTCTCCTTCACCGAGAGCTTCGTAAACGAGACGTCCTGGCCGTCATACGCGAAGACCACGTCACCCAACTCGAAGTTCCCATCGGTCGAAGGCGTCAAACCTGGCAGTTTTTCGAAGGCCTCCGCGCGCCTCCGCTGCTGAGCAAGGCGAAGCTCCTTTTTTGCGGCCTGGCTCTTTGCTTTCTCCGCCCGCTCCTCGGCCTCGATCTGCTCGCTGTCTGCGGGCTGGTAGCCATCCACCTTGAGGGTTTAGGGTTTAGGGTTTAGGCTTTAGCGCTTATAAGGCTTAGGCGGCTTTGGGCGTAGGGCTTAGGGTAATTTAGGGTCCATCCACCATGTTGAGCGTGCCGCTTCCAACCATCTCTTTCGGCACATACTCCTTGCACTCGCATCCGTGAGTGCGCAGGAGCTGGCGCAGCTCTGGGGTTATTCTCGAGCCATACTGGTGCCTGAAGGTGACGCAAGGGAGATGATCTGGAAGAACGAGCGCCTGCATGAATGTCTTCGGATGGAGCATACGCATGATTGGGTTGTCGTCTTCAGAGTCGTCCTCGGCATCTGCGGCAGCCGTCTCAGCCGTAAATGAAGCTTCTGTGAACTCCAAGTCCTGCAAGGAGCTGAGCCCACGAAGATCCAGCACAGATGGCTCTCGGCCTCCCTCATTAACCCCGTGATATTTCAGCACACGGAGCTTGTGGAACCTCTTCAGAACCTCCAAGTCGCTGGCCACGTTGAACCGCAAGCGACCTATCTCCAACACTTCCAGCGTTCCGGCTAGAGGCTCGAGAGCTGTGACTCCACATTTGGATGGCTCATCCTCGCACATGGTCTGGAAGGACAGCTGAAGCTTGAGGCTTTTCAAGGTCCTGCACATGCCGAAGCCCCTCAAATCATAGATCACGCGCCGGCAGTCCACCGTTTTGTAGAGCAGTTGACGGACATTCGGGAACTTCTGATGCAACTCCGGATAGGAGTAGATGCTTCGGTCACCAGAGTCGATCTCAAGGTCGAGAATGCTTGCAGCATCCTGGAGCACCTGGTGCTTTGGGATCTCCCTGCCAGCCGTCAAGGCATGGCAGTGCGTCAAGAACGCGGCCTGGTCGCCATCGCAGGAGAAGTCCTCGAAGTCGGGGTCTCCAGGACTCAACTGGACACTTGTCACAGGTGGCTGCTCTGCATCGCCCAACTCCTCCATTGCCTTGTCCGTAACTCCAGGAAGCTGTTCCAACATGACTCGCCGAGACACGACAAGGATCTCCTGCGCCACCGACAGCTCCAGCTCTACTACGCTACCCAGCCAAGCTCGGGCCACGACAGAAAGACGTCACATGCTCGTCAATTGCACAAAACGCCTCCGCCTGTCAGCACGAACAGTCATCTTGTGTTGGACCTGCTTAGCCCTTTAGCTTCGAGGGGTGCCACGAGTGTGGTTTTCCAACTCGGATTTTTGAAAGTTTGAACGTATCAAATGTTGGACGTGATTTGGAGAGTTAACAAGTTTCAATTTTTCGACTTCGAACCGGAACACGAGCTTGAATTTTGAAGGTTTGAGCCGGAATCTGGCTCGAAAGTTTGAAGTGCCAGCGACATTCGCCGTGGGAGTCGCGCAAGGCGGAGAACAGGCGGAGGGCGCAGTCTGGCTCACAGAGCAGCTCCCAAGTTCGAGTTCGAAAGCTTGAGAGGCTGGAGATGGAAAGTTCGAAACCCGGGGAGTTTGAAGGCATGCAAGGTTGAAAGTTCTAGAGATTGAAAGTTTGAGAGTTTGAGATATTGAAAGTTTGAGAGCTTGAGAAGTTGAAAGATTGCAGTTTGAAAAAATGAGAGACACGGAGTTTGAAAGTTTGAAGCTTTGAGATTTTGAAGGTCTGTAAGCTTGAAGGTTTGAAGGTTGGAACATTGGAAAGTTTCAGTTCGAAAGCGTATTGAGTTGTTGACACTTGAAAACACGTTTCAGTTTCGGGCCTGGGGTTAAAAGCTTCGAGCAGCCAACACAATGTGCAGTGTACGAAATCGGCCCTAAACCCTAAACCCGAAACCCTAAACCCTAAACCCATTATTGTGGAAGTGTGGAAACGCCTCAAAGAGCCGGCTCCCTGAATCACAAGACTTATAAACCTTGAAGCCCCGCTCAGGGTTAGGGGCTCCCCTAAGGGTCCTTGTACCCAAAT